AACTAATCCTTAGGTGGACCAATTTTGCAGTGTTCTGGGAATCACTTCCAGAGCTCCAGCCTAGAGCTTGGGCCTCCAGACTTTCTAAGGATGCTGTGAGTACTTAATTCCATATATTAAAACACTTTGCATTTAAAGTAGTGAAATGGTTTATATCATGTAAAACCGAATCCAAACCTGATAGAGGCAGGATAGAGGAAGTGTCATCATCTCTCTGCCATTAGCAAGCTGTGGTGGCTGTGTGAGGTTCTGTGTGGCAGTAACTGGGTCATATCACTATTCTAGGTCTCAGTTTCTTCATTTATAAAATGGAAAGTAGTAGTGAGGCAGTACATGTAAATGGCATTCTATTTCTTCTGCTCACTATGAGGAACTTTCCTCACTATTCTCTCTCAGGACCACCGAGGGAGCAGGTGCCACAACTGCATACTTCTAACTGGTGCAGCATATCATATAAAACCATTTGTAAATAGTTCAAAAAATTTCCCCTAACCCATTGGTTGTAGGGAACTCTCCACAAAGCCGTAAGTATACTACATTCCTACTACTAAATGTAGTAGGAATACATATCATGGTTTTCTGGGACACTTACTCATGCAATTTACATGTGACTTCAGGACCTGCTTAAGATTTAGCATGTATATATCACCTCCAATTGATAGAGTTCTGCTGTGTATGCCCAAATTTTTTACTTGATGGTAAGTTCACAACATCAAGTTCATTATGGGCAGTGTGGGCTGTACCACAGCTTGGTGGCCTATGGTCAAGTGCTCAGTCTCTACAAGGGCCCAGAAGTGATCCAAAAGGAAAATTGTTATCTAAGAGAATGGAATATCTTTGTTCAGAAACCTAATGTCTATCCAGTGATTCACCTAGAGGGGCTGGCAAGAGGTTCCATGCAGGATCTCAATCTGCTACAGATACTTCAAGCAACATTGGATCTGCTGAGTATATAACCCATGTGATAAAACAGCCTGCACTGCAGCCTGGACCTATTCCAGATCTTTCTCCTATTCTGTGCACCATTCAAAACTAGCAACCTTTTGGACTAAATGTACAATGGGTTCAAGTAGCAGACCCAAGCGAGGTATACATTGCCTCTGAAATCTAAAGAAACTCATTAGGCACTGTGGCTCTTCCTTCATAATAGGAGGGCAGAAATTTTCCCTTAGCCTTTGGACATGTATCTTGACATGTCCCAGACCACTGATCCCCTGAAAAGTCCCCAGTGTGACTTTTGGTGACAAAAGTCTCAGAATTTGGGGGTTATATATTTCCATGCATGTGTCACACAAGTGTTAGAATAGTTGTTACTTCCTGTTCACCTGGTTAAATCAATATGACCTCATCAGGGAAACAGACCAATGTGATGTCTTACAGAACAGAGAGGTAATCAATTTCTTTGACTAGAATTTGACAGGTTTGGAAGGTTGATATAACCTTGAGTGTACGAGTGGTCCCAACAGCTGAAATCAAACTGCCCCTGATGATCTTTAATAACAGGTAAGAAGAAAAAAAAATAACAACAAAAACAACAACAACAAAAAAACCCAGCATACAGTTGGCAGGGAATGTACATCTTGCTCAAGCAAAAAAGAAAAAAAAAACTTCCACACATCTGGATCCATACTGTAGTTAGAGTCAGCACTTGATTAAATGTACAATAATCCATTCTCACTGAAAATTCAGTTTCTAACATGTAAGTAAAAAAGTGCAACTCATGAGAAGGTATAATATACCCCAAAATAATTGTGAGGTTTTACCAATTTATACCAACAAAAAACTGGAGAACATGAATGGGAACCGATCCTAAGGATATTAGAGCAGAGCGGAAGAAATATAATATTGGAGAAGACAAAATTTATTGACGACACTGCACCAGGCTGCAACTGTAGATTCAATGTGTGTGAGCCACTAAAAATGGCTCAAATAGTTTGTTTGGTTAATTGCCTAAAACATGGGGCCAAAGGAAGTATATACTGAATGAAGTTGCAATGCCCAAGGAAGGCATCTAAAGGCTAAAGTGGATTATTATGTAGGACCCCACCTCCTGTCTATGTCCCCTGTGAAGGTCCAGAGACACTTCCTTCACCAAAGCTATGAGAAATACATTTATGAGGGGAATCTCGACATGCTTAGGATGTAGCTCCATTGTGGCTCTTCTCTGTGGCAGAAATGACAGTGGGAACTGTTGCCATTGAATTGGGCAATCTAAATTCAGTGAAGATAATGGTATCCTGGGGTGGTGGGTGCTGATTCAAGTCATATTTCCATTCATTTCTGCTTATACAGATCAAATAAGACTTGCATGGGCTGCCCATCTATTTTTGCTCTAGAGACAAAACAGTCAATTAACCAATGCCAAAGATCTCTATGGATCAAACCATTCTGACTACTGCTTTGGCTCAGCTCCCATCATGGTAGCCAGCCCACTGTGTCCTCCAGATTGGAGACAGAAAAAAAAAAATCCCACTTAAAAATAATGTTGGTTGCCAGAAACTATAGAAGAAGAAATGTCTTACGGACTTGGGATTAAATATTAAACAGATACTTTAGCAACAAAATTAAAAAATAAATTTAAAAGTCAGAAAAGAAAATCAGTAATTACCAGGAACTGGTATAGGTTTACTATGAATAATCCATACTAAATGGTCTCATTTGTTTTTTTAAGAGAGAGAGAGTGCACATACATGCATGTGCAGGAGCTAGGGGTGGGGAGGGGCAGAGGGAGAGAGAGAGAATCTTAAGCAGGCTCTTTGCCCAGCGTGGAGCCCAACTTGGGGCTCCATCTCACGACCCTGAGATCATGACCTGAGCCAAAACTGAGTCACCCAGGCACCCTTCATTTGTTTCTTAAATGAGATTACTAAATCAGAAAAAATGTTATGTATGGTATGATGAAACTGACTCTACGTTTCCTGTAAACAAGTAGTATGATAAAGAAAACCTGGATTTCATTAATAGTAGTGTGGTGGCAAATGAAGAAAAACTACACTCTAATCTGTACTGGTCAGCCTATATATGAACTGCCAGGCCTGTGTTGAATATGATATTTTCAAAGAAAGGTTAACCAAACAGAACACCACAAACAAGAGACAAGTTCAATAAGGGCTTTATATAACCCATCACATGAAGAACAGTTGTAGGAACTGGAGTTTTCGTGTCAAAAAAAAGAAACCCACAAACTATTTTGTTGGGAGAATACCAGTTAGCTGCCTTTATTTGAAGTGTGACCACATGGACTACAAAACTGATTTATTTTGGGTAACTTCAGAGGAAGATCTAGGATTAAACAGATAAATTTCTAGAGAGGAAGATTTGGGTACAATGTTCAGAAAAACTTTCTCTTTGCTGCAGCTGCTTAGCAGTAGAATTAGCCACTGTAGAAATCCAGGGATTCTCTGCCCTGCAAATGTTTTTGCAGAAGCTGGGTCTGCAGCTGCTGTGCATGTTTTGGTTGAGGGCATTACTGCAATATGGTAGGATGCTAAAGTAAGTGACGTTTAAGGTCCCTTCCAGTCTCAGCTTCAATGAGCCCGTAAAGAGTAAACAGAATGTAAAAGGAAAGAAGGAGAACTTCTGAGATGCATGGCATAGGCATTGTTGACAGGATGTGAGACACAAGGGGGTTGTTTCAGAGAACTTGATCCTGACATATTTCCTATCCATAATGTAGCAATCTGATCCTTCCTATCTGCCTAGAAACACAAGAGTCAATGACATCGGACCTATCATTTTTCTCACCTCAATTTAACCCATCAACGATGATACACTGATTTAGATGTCATGCCTTTTCCTGGAAATGGAGATATGTGGAAGAAACCGTGGGCCAGGAACAGGAAATTGGAAGCTGTAGGATCTAATCCTGGTATTGCCAAAAATTCACCATCTGTTTTTTGAGCAATTCCTTGCAAATTCCATGTGGCTTCACCCAGGAGGAGAATTGTGAGATGTTTGCTAAGATCTCAATGTTCAACTGAGTGCAAATAGCCCATCAGATACAAGATCTAGACTCAGGTGCAACCTCATGACTTTGCCTCTCGTATTTCACGTTGGTTGCAGCCTGAAATGAAATCCAGCTCACATATTTTCAGTCTTGGGTTTAAGGCTGAAGTGAGAATTTAGCAGAAGATACCATGATTCCTCCTTGTGGCTACAGAATTCTTCTAAGGGGTTGATACAACTGAGTGGAATAAGAAAAGTATGGATCAGGTCTCAGTCACTTCCAAGGCCTCAGAAGGAGTTCTTCCCTAGCCTCTGAGGAACTGGTATCAGTGAGGAAGTCTGGAGGCCTGGCCCCCTAACTGCCTTAGGAGCACGTTGTGGGAGGTGCAGACCAAAGGTGAGTTTACACATCAGTGACTAAAGTTTCCTGCCACTAAGTATAAGAAGTCACTCATGAGCAGCGTCCCTAAACCACAGCTACAGGATGTGGGCACAAGCCCTTGTATAATTGTTGGCCAAAAGCCAATGAGCATTCATCTCTGTGCAAATACTTGGGCTTTTTTTTGTTGTTAACCTTTGAAAACCACAGGCATTAGTCTCTCTTTCTTCCCCTTGGCACGAGGTATCTTCTTTTCTCCAACTTGGTCTCTTGTGTGTAAAGAATTTCTGAGGAGCATTTAAGCCTAAATTTAATACTTTTGCCCTCCTCTCTCCTGCCCCACAAAATGCCAGGCAGAGGTAAAGCCGCCTTACAAAATATCTGCTGGCTCTGTGGGCTTCCGCAGCTTTGTTTGGGCTTTTCGATCAGATAGGAAATCAGAGAGTTCTATGAGTGACCTTAGCCTTTAAGAAAATACAGGTAATTTCTGGAAATTCCCCTTAAACAACGATGACCTATTGTTTCCTCCCCTCGGAATTAACCCAGCGACTATGATGCCCTGATTTAGATGTTATGCCTTTAGATATATGCAGAGAGCAGTGGGCCAGGAATAGGAAGTTGGAAGCTTTAGAGTTTAATCCCCAGTACCAAAAACTCACCATCTGCTTTTTGAGCATTTTTTTTTTTCCAGTTTCAACGCCTTTGCTTCCTGTTCTGTGAAATGAAAGCCTTGGGTTGTGAGGTTTCTATGCCTCCTTAGCCCCAGGGCTCTGTGCATTGGCTTTCTTAGTGTTGCTTCAGCAAGGGAACAAGGAGAACAGGCCTCAAGGCAAAAGATCCAGAGCACACCAACTGGCTTCTCTTTTCCGCCTTAGAGAATTGCCAAAGGTCAGGCCTCCAAAGGGGCCCAGTTGCCCACTTGAAGGTCAGGCTTAGCATTTCTTGACAGCTCTCCTTCTTGTAAACATTAGAGAATCTACCAACCTTGCCTCTGTACCCAAATATCCCACATCCCAGTGAGAAAACCCAAGCTAACCCCACTCCAGCAAAATAATTTTTTTTTTTTTTTCCTGAAAGAGATGGCAGATGGATGTTACAGAGTCTAAATCAAAAGAAGGTGAATATTCTAACCATCAGAATGACCCACAATGTATCAGGAGACCTTGAACAATCTGTCCATGAAGATGTTCAAGCAGTTTTTGAAGAGACATATCGGGGATTTTCTAATGGGAAAATATCCCTGAATGTGATAAAGATCAGATAAAGAAGATGGCCAGCCATGACATTTTTATGGTGATATGCCCAATACTTAATGCCTCTTGTAAATAATCCTATTCCCAATCAAATTTATGATGTCCCTTCCAGAAACTTTATTGGTATATTTCAGATGATAGCCTGAATGAAAAGCCCAGGCATATAGTAGGTCCCCTGGTTTGTGGTTTGTATTTCCTGTTGCGCTTATGGACAAGGAACCCAAGTGAGAACACCATGTGTCAAATGGGAGAATGATGGTCAGTAGGTCTATAGTGACCAAGGAAAATTTCCCAGAGGGAACTAAATATAATTCCTTTGGATGTTGTCCTACTTTCTGCTTCCAAGTCTTAACCACTCTACAGGCAGGTACTCAATGTTTTGTTTCTGCTTTTGTTTTTGTTTTACTTGACACAATCATTTAACCTCATTTCATTCAGTCCTCACAAGATCTTTATGCAGTGGGCAGTAAAGGTATCACTGTATCCATTTTACAGATGAGGAAATTAAATCTTAGGAAAGTTAAGGTAATTTTCTAGGGTCTCATTTGAATGATTCAATTCTTTCCAAAGGAAAAAAAACATTTAATTATCTAATCATTAGCAACAATTCTTTGGAGGATCATAATAAGGCCTCTAGCCTTAAAGTATGATATCAATCACCCATCTACCAATTCTGTTCACAATATCCACGTAATCTAGTCCCTACTTGAACACATCAAGTGATGGCAGGCTCCCTTTTCTAAGGAGCAGCCCATTCCATCTTTGACATTCCTACCTAAAAGAAGTTCTTTCTTATCTTAAACTGCCTTCCAGATTCCTGAATCCTTTCATGGAATGGTAATAACTGGTAATAACCTGGTAATAACCTGCTTCCTAGGTCCCACGTATCAGTTTATGGGATATTCCACTAGACAGTCTTTGTAAAATGTGAAAAGCATTCTCCTGTCATCTCTAAGTTCATTCTTCTCCATGTTAAACAGTTTTGGTGTTATTAAATGCTTATCCTATTTGTTAGAGGCTAGACCTCAGGGCTAAGAGACATCTCCCTCCCCTCAACCTTTTGCAGAGTTGGTGCTGTACTGTGTCCTTTAGAAAGTCACTTCGGAACAGTCTGTCCCAGGTTACGAGGAGGACAAATGTGCAGAAAGAAGTCTATTGTCAGGCTGATCCTTAAATGGTAACTCAAAAGAATGTGCTGGACATTTCAGATGCTTCTGCCAACAAATGCCACTATCTTGAGGCAAATAGGGATTTTCGGGCAGCAGTGTTATAATAATTTGCCAATTATGCCTGCTTCAGAACCACTGCCAAAACAATCCAACGACTTTTCATTCCACTACTGTTGACAGGACAGCTAAGGATTTCAACATTTCCTTTTACAGTCTGAATAGAAGTTCTCTGCCTTGGGGACTATAACAATATTTGCCATCATGGGGCGGGGGCTTGGGGGGGAGTAGGTGCTGGGAAGGATTTTAGAAAGAGGGAGAGAAAGAGAAATGCTAATGGAAGTAAACAAAGACAAAGACTAAATAAAATGAGGGTTATTCAAAGTGTGGGTTTTGAATGCCTGCATCCAATTGATGTTTGTTAATGAATCGGAGAACAAATCTTTGAAATTGAGGAAATAAATTTTTAGAAAAAAAGCCTTTAAAAATACACTCTGCACAACCCACCCCCCAACAACAACAACAACAAAATAGCTGTAGGTTTTAACTTGAATACCAACCAAGGCATCTTAACTTTGGGTCTTGAGACAGACATGAAAATCTGATTATAATAACATTTATGGTGTTCATCATTCAAAGCTTCTTCCCAAAACAGATTAAAAAAATAAAATTGTAAAATTGAAAAGGCAAAACTTGAAGAGATGTGATAATCTCCTGAGGTGTTCATCAGGGAAAGAAAAAGAGAAAATATCAGAGAAAAGAGCAAAGGAAACAGAATAAGGTAGGACAGTATTTTTGAAAACATGCTCCTCAAAACTTTCTGGGACCCATTGGCATTCCACAGGGGGCACCTCTGAGACCCCCCAAAAAGAGGAATCCAGAGGCATTCCCATGTCCACTTCAATCTTAGTGGCCTCACTTCTATCTGTTTTACATTTTGGGAGTCCAAAACAGATTTCAATAGAAGGAAAGGGTCTGCTATTGGAAAATAAAATGAGATAAATACTTGAACAAAAAACTGCAGAAGAAAATGAGCCATTAAAAGTTCTTGAGCAGGGAGTGATAGGGTCAAATTGTGCTTTAGAAATCTGGCAACCAAATGCAGAATGGATTAGAATAGAGTCAAGCTCAGATCAAAGATTCCAAATAAAAGGCTATGGCAAAATTACCCAGGGGAACAGAATTAGAGACTTGATCTAATAATATATACCTGTGAAAATGGAAAGGCAAAGGAGTTCATGAACAATTTTTAAAGAAGAATGAACTTTAAGTTTGACATCTGGGCATTGGGGTACAATACCAAGCCACACATAAATTTGGTACTGCTATGCTCTGACAGTTTGTGTCCCCCCAAAATTCACATGCTGAAAGCCTAAAGTCCAATGTGATGGTATTAAGAAGTGGGGACTCTGGGAGGTGATTCGATCATGAAAGCAGAGCCCTCATGAATAAGATTAATGCCTTTATAAAAGAAGCACAAGAGAACTCTCTTGCCCCTTTACCATGTGAGGATATGACAAGAAGTCTGTAACCCGGGAAGAGGGCCCTCACCTGACTATGCTGGCACTCTGAACTCTGAATTCCAGCCTCCAGAACTGTGAGAAATACATTTCTGTTGTTTATAAGCCACCCAGTCTGTGGTATTTTGTAATAACAGCCTAAACAAACTAAGAAAGATACCATATAAAATTATTTGGCAAGGAATTTAGATATATCAGAACTGATGGATTTCAGGGATGATGACTGGAACCATAAAAATGCCACAGAGAACTCCAGGATTTTGAAGATGCTGAATGTGAGTGGCCACTGGAACACAGATATATATGAACAGCAGAAAGAAATACAAAACTGAATCTTGAAGAAATATCAGGGATAGCAATAAGGATTGGGAAGTCATCTTCATAAAAAGAGTAGCTAAAATAATACAGTCAGATCCCAATAAAAGAAAAGATCAGAATCAAAGCGCTCAAGATCAAGATCCAGAAAATGCCTACATTTAGAGGACAGAAGAATAAGAACCCAGAGAGTCTGCCCTCAGTTTATGAGCAGGTATTCATTGACAACATTATTTGAGGAGCTTAAGAGAATGTCTTTTCTGGTTTTAGGAAATTTGATTATTCATATATGAGGTCTGAGGTGTGCATCTATCAGTTTAATCAAGCTTTTAGATTTCCTAAGACACTAAGTATTCAACATCATGTAGTAGTATTTAAAAGTAATTAATTGTTTTAGTCCAAAAATATGGTGATCTGAAACAGAATCTTCAATAAAGATATATTGATGGATGACATACCCATACACCAAATAGAGTCTCAAAAACCAATACTCCCACGGGCAAGGGAATAGCCAAGTTTGTTGCGGTTTCCAATGAATGACATCAGCCCCATGTAGGTTTCAATCAAAATGGGTTCAGTTAACACCATCAGTCCCCTTCCTCTTCCAGATCCAGTGGAATTCTTGTGGGCATTCTGGATAGCTGGAACAAGCTTAGACGTGAACCCAGACAACTGAAGAGGAAAAGAAGGCACAGAGTTAGTAAATGTAGAGTAGGTCCAGGGACACTTCCTCCCCAGCCAGTCCTCACCAAAGCTGACCACTCTCCTGGGGCTGCAACTATCCTTACTTATATAGAAATCATTTCTCAGAATTGTCAACATGGCTTCTGTTAGTCTTTTAATAAATTAATCAGTCAATAAATTATGTACATAATGAACTTATCTGCCACATCCTGTTTATTTTTCATCCTTCATAATTTGTACAACATTAAGAAGTCACTTTAATAAATATTTGCTGATAGTCTATTATGAATCAGACACCTGTTGGGTGCTGCTGAAGATTTAATGACAAGTAAGTTGTAGTCTCTGTCTCCAAAGATATGATACTATAATAATCTAAGAAATGAACTTTTTTTTTTAAGATTGAGAGATTCTTTTTTTTTTTTAAGATTGAGAGAGACAGAAAGATATGGTAGGAGCAGAGGGAGAGGGATAAGCAGGCCTTGGTGCTAAGCATGGAGCCCAAGGAGGGCTCAATGCCATGACTCCAAGATCATGATCTGAGCCAAAATCAAGAGTCAGATGCTCAACTGACTGAGACACCCAGGTGCACCTAAGAAATGAACTTGTATTGATTATACAAAGATTGTGAAAATAAACAGCAAAAGAGGCTCAAGATGCTAAGAGAACACAAAAGAGGGAGAAATCATATGTAGTGACAGGATCAGAAATGACCTCAAAAGGAAACTCTTGAGACAATCTTTAAAGGGCTCATAGGGTTTCATTAGGTGAAATGGGGTTAGGAAGGGCCTAGTCAACAGCTGTTGTTTTTTTCCAACCCAGCATCCTTTCCACCAGTTGAGATTCTTCTTCCAACAAGAGTACCTTCTTTGTTCTTTGAAGAACCACCCTATCCCATTTAGCCCACATAGTTTAAGTGGCGCTGACTTTACCATATGGCTCAGGCCTAACCAATTAGAGGAGTCCATTTCTCTGGTCACAGAGATTGGTTCAGGATGGGTACATGACCAATGTTGTTATAAAACTGATAGAATACAAGCCTCCCTGGAGGTATTCATGGTCATTTTGCCACACACAGTGAGAACCTGACTGAGAAATAAGCCCACAAAAGTGAAAGAACTAAGATGTAGAGAAAGATGAATTCTTGACAAAGTCATGCAGATTACTAGATCAGCCGACCCTAAACTTTTAAGTTAAGTGACTAAAAGAAAAATTCCTTCTTTTGGTCAAGCCAAGTTGAACTGGATTAAGAGGAGGGTAGTTCAGGGAGCATTCTAAACAGAGAAACAAGCAAGGAAATGAAGTAGGAAAGCTCATATCCTTGTATTTCCAAAAAACTCTTTTATTTCCATGATTTCTTTCTAATATAGATGTATTAGGTAGGTCAAAGAAAGTACCACCATTTCCATGTTAGAAAACCAAGGCTCATAGAAGGTAAATGACTTATCCACAGTAACTCCGCTTTCTGCATCACAGTAAAAAAGAACATTGGGAATAAAATCTTATTCACAGTGAGATCCAAATCTGTTTCCTAGGCAACTGACCACTAATCTAAATTAAGACTCTTATTAGAGCATATTCCAATATCAATTCAAATTATTAAGCATACTTATATAAAGTGATCATTGTTCTTCCCATTTGTCCATGAGGACACCAATCTTTGCTTTAAGAGACTAACACAAGAGTTATGATTCACTGATGACAGAGAAGCCTGTAGTCTTTCCCCATGATACAATTTTCCATATAGATTTTATGCTGGATTCTTAATTTTATATTGCTCTTGAGCAAACCACTTCTTTATTCTAGTCTTAGTTTCCTTATTAGTAAGAGAAAAACTTTTAAAATTTAGAATGTATCTACTATTGCTAGTTAACCTAACCCATAAGCAAAAAAAAAAAAAAAAAAAAGCCATGCAAATAAAACCTCTATAATTTTCTAACTGTGTGACATTGTAAATTCATTTCCCCTTTTTGGAGCCTCTGTGTGTTCTTTTGAAAAGAAGCACTGAAATCTATGGATTTTGGATAATATCAGAAATTTAAAAAATAGTGACTGATGATAAAACAACATAGTTTTCTGGAGTACCTCAATATTTCTAGGTTTTCAAAATAAAAAGATATTTTTGTCTCTACTTTTCTTTTTTTTTAAGATTTATTATTTGAGAGAGTGCAAATGTGAGCAGGGGGAGGTGCAGGAGAGGGAGCAAGAGAGAGAGAGAGAATCTCAAGTCGATTCCCTGTTGAGTGTGGAGACCGAAGAGGGACTCAATCCCACAACCCAGAGACCATGACCTGAGCCAAAATTAAGAGTTGGACACTTAACCAACTGAGCCACTCAGGTGCCCCTGTCTCTCTACTTTTCTTGAAAGTTATATTTAAAGTAATTAAGTAATACCAAAACATTAATTTTAAAAAATAGACTCACTTTCACTGAGGCTAAAGAATGTAATAACACAGAAGTAGGGTTTTGCTTGTTCTCCATGAGCTTCAGTCTACAGCAGCAAAGACAGACAGAAGGTACTTTTTATTACTATTTGCAGTTCCAGCATCCTCTTTGAGATCTTAAAGAGAATCTAAATATTGCCGTTACTGAAGGATACAAACTATAATTATACAGCCTGAGGATTCTAAAAGGAAGAACAGCCTTCCTTTCAGCAAACTCCACCAGTGCTTTAGTTGATTGAATAAGAAAAGCAGAAAGAAGTGATCTTTCTTCAACTTCCAAAAGAGGAAAGCAGAAAGGAAAGAATAAGTTAATAACATGGGCATTTAATCACTATTTTTTAAAATATTTTATTTATTTATTTGACAGAGAGAGCAAGAGCACAAGTAGGCAGAGCAGCAGACAGAGGGAGAGGGAGAAGCAGGCTTCCTGCTGATCAGGGAGCCTGACGCGGGGCTCGATCCCAGGACTCTGGGATCATGACCTGAGCCGAAGGCAGACACTTAACCAACTGAGCCACCCAGGCGCCCCTAATCACTATGTTTTAAAATCATAGAATCTCAAGGTCAGAAGTGATCCTGAGCTTATTAATTCACCACTCACCTATTGTTATGCCTTGCTACATCTTTACCAAGAAGCCACATACCTCTCCATGGACATATCCGATGATATGGAACTCACTGCTATCTAACCATGTCTACTTCATCACTGTATAGTGGGAAAATGCTTGGCATTAGATGCACAGGGCCAGGTATGTTTCTTTGCCCTATCAGTTACTGATGGTTAGACCCTGGATAAAACCATATAATCTCACTGAGCCTTAGTTTATACATCTGAAAATGGGCAAATAATAATGTGATCGTGATAATAATACTAAATGCCAACCTCATCAGATTGCTGTATGAATTTAAGTGAATTATTCAAAAATATTTTATAAAGCATATTATTTATAGTACAAATATTTTCATTATTTATAGGCAGAGAAGACTTTAACTTCCTTAGTCCCATTCCCTTCAATTCTGTACTTGGAACGCCAATTGACTTAATATGAATCATAGGCTCCATAAAACTATTTTTTCAACTCTGATATGAGCTTTTTTAAAAGTAACAGAGTTCTCTGGATGCCAAAGGATACATCAAATTCTACTCAGAAACCATGATTTCAAAAAACATGGCTTGAGAATCAAAGTATCTCCCCCAAGATATTTATCGGTTATAAAGGGAAAAATACTGACTTTGCAGAGGAGAAATCCAGTATACACCATTTTAAACAAGTGATTAAGGTTAACACCACTAGTGATAAGACATACAGGCATCGTAAGCCTACAATGAAGACACAACATCATTTCTATAGTATCTGCACCAAAAAAGCAGACCACAATTTAATGATGAGAAAACATCAGGCAAACCCAAATTGAATGACATTCTACAAAACAACTGACCGGTATTCATCAGACATGCCAAGATCATGAAAACAAAGGAAGAAAGAAGGATGTGATGAGCCCTGGGTGTTACACACAACTGATGAATCATTGAACATTATATCAACACTAATGTACTATACGTTGGCTAATTGAATTTAAATTAAAAAAAAAGGAAGAATGAGAAACTGTCACAGTTTGAAGGAGAATAAAGAGACAGAATAACTCAATATAATATGTTTTCATCAACTGGATCCTGGGAAGACAGAGGACGTTAAGAAAAACAAAACAAAAACCCAGTGAAATCTGAATAAGGCCTGTAGTTTACTTAATATTATTGTACCAATGTTTATTTCCCAGGTTTTGATAACTATATTATATTATGTAAGTTTTTAGAAGAATTTTAATGACAGGTACATGGAAACTTTATCATCTTTGCAATTTTCCTGTAAGTCTAAAATTATTTCAAAATAAAAAGCCTTTAAACTGGATTGAAAGAAAATCCTAAATATTAGTTCCCCAGGGTTACTGAAGTTTTCAACTGATCAAGGAGAAAAGTTCCAAAGAAAACCAGGTGCAAGATGACACTTTTACTTTGTTTTCCTTATCTCTATATTTTTTAATATGAACCTACATCAAAATTATACCAGCATTACTGAATTTTCATTAAGACTGTATTTTCTGACATGAATTACACCAAGACAATTGGGTTCACTGAAGAATTTTCCATCTGAATGAAAGAATTTATAAATTTTTCCCTTTTTTCCTGAAAAATTTCCATTGAATGAATTCATGTCTATACAATTAAATTAAATCAAAAAGTTGATTTTTTTTTCCATTCCAAATTTAGTCATTGTTACAGTTTTCTTCTGAGGATATTACTTTTAATATTATTACTTTCCTCAGTGTGATTTTAGTTGTTAATTTAATTTTGTGTTTAACCTACTAACACTAACTTTCCTCAGGATAAGTTTTGCTTCCTAATGTCAAAAATTATATGCAATTCCTGTTTGTTTATTAGCTATGTAAGGTTACCAGCTGCCATTTTAGTTTTAGCTGCTTTTTCTATGTATATATGAGTTATTTCTATCAATATTAATACTATAAACTATGTCACTAAAGATTAAA